AGAATAGACTAGAATAGAATAAATATTAGAAGGAATAGAGTAGAGTAGAGTAGAGTAGAGTAGAGTAGAATAGATTAGAATAGAGAAGAGAAGAGAATATAGAATAGAATAGCATAGAATTGAAAGGGATCTTGGAGATCTTCTAGTCCACCCCCCTGCTCAAGCAGGAGAACCTACACCATTTCAAATAAATGTCTAGTCTCTTTTTAAAACTCTCCAGTGTTGGAGCGCCCACAATTTCTGGAACGAAAGCTGCTCTGTTGGTTAATTGTCCTCACTATTAAGAAGTTTCTCCTTAATTCCAAGTTGCTTCTTTCCTTCGTTAGTTTCCATCCGTTGCTTCTTGTCCTGCCTTCTGGTGCTTTGGAGAATAATTTAACCCCCTCTTCTTTGTGGCAGTGCATCAAATACTGGAATCCTACTATCGTGTCACCCTTAATTCTTCTTTTCTCTAGACTAGCCAGACCCAAATCCTGCAGCCGTTTGTCATACGTTTCAGTCTCCGGGCCTTTGATATCTTTGGGGCTCTTCTCTGAACTTTTTCCAAGATCTCAACATCTTGTTTTGTAGTACGGTGACCCAAATTGGTTGCGGTATTCCAGGTGTGGTCTTACTAGGGTTTTATTAAGTGGCACTAATCCCTCACGTGATCTTGATCTTGGTTCTATGCCTCTGTAACTACCTGTAACTGATCAGAACGGCTCAAGACGATGACTCGGTCTTCAATAAGGATTGGTAAATTTGACTGTAAGAAAACAGCCTGATTTAAAACCAGCCAGGAAATAAATACCGTAAACTAGAAGGTTTGACTTTAAAAACTGAAACGCTGGTATATTTTGACAACTGGACTAGCAATACGCTCTGCTATTCTCTCCTTAGCAAACCTAGCATTGTATTCAGGAAAGGAGAAAAACAGCAACAACAACGAAAAAAAGAAACCCTTTGCCAAATTTCTCTCAAAGCGGGATTCATAAAATCGGAAAACAAAACAAGGAAACACAACATAAGGACCCTATTATGCTTGCTTTTTTTTTTTTTCATCCTTCTGACTCTCAGGAATGAAACCAAGCCTGAAACTAGATTATAAGCATTGATGTTTCTTCTCTTTGGAGGTGGGGATGGAAAGGCACAAATTGTTTCCTTGCGTCCCAGTCAGATGTTGTTGTTGGTTAATTAGCACAACGCCTTACAACTCCCTTCTTCAGACAGTAAATAAAAGTTTGGCTGGGATGGCCCTCTTCCCTGCTGGATTGTGGCCTCCTTTTCTCACATCAGTGCTTCCTTAAAAGGATTTACAGGTAGTCAGTTTATTTAGTGACGGTTCGAAGTTTCAACGGCACTGAAAAAAGCTGACTGACGACCATTTTTTTCACACTTACGACCATTGCGGCACCCCCGTGGTCATGCAATCAAAATGCAGACCCTTGGCAACCAGTTCGGATTTATGACGGTTCACGCGATTCCCTTTTGCGACCTTCTGACGAGCCAAGTCAATGGGAAAAACCCGCTTCACTTAACGACCCTGTGACTGATTTAACAACTGCAGTGGTTCGCGTAACGGCTGTGGCGAGAAAGATCGTAAAATCGGGCAAGATTCACTGAACAAATGCTTCGCTTAGCAACAGAAATCTTGGGCTCAGTTGTGGTTGTACGTTGAGGGATACCTGTATAGCTTTCCTGGCTGAGGAATTCTGGGAGTTGAAGTTCACAGGTCTTAAAGTTGGAGACCCCTGCCCGAAAACGACGCCTTTGCCCTTTACTGGCGTAGAACAGATTAAAAGAGCATTTTCCCTCAGCCCACCTGGAGGTCAGCTGCATCAGAATACGCTTGAAAGCGACTCTGTTCCCTTTTCATTCATTTCATTCAAGAGGTCATTTTCAAGAGACGGCACCTAACACACACAAAACAGAAGTAGGAAGTGGTCAAATAAATGTCAGACAAATTCCATCTGCTTCGTTTCCATGGACGTAAAATTGACATTTGTTTTCATTTTGCTTTCGCTATCGATCGCTACGCATTGCACAATTATTCTTTCTTCCTTTCCTTTTTTGGGGAGGTTAACCCTTCTACAACTGTAACGTGTTCCATGATATCCAGAGGACTGAAACTTGAGGGTAGCTCAGATGCCTGTATAAATGAAATTATATATAAGCATGGAAATGATTGGATTCTAAAATATGGGACTATGGATGGATTTGGGGCAGCAAAAACAGTACTTAGGCTTATATGCCGCTTTCCAGTGCTTTCCAGCCCTCTCTAAGCGGTTTACAGAGTCAGCCTCTGGCCCCCAACAATCTGGGTCCCCATTTTACCCCCCTTGAAAGGATGGAAGGCTGACTCCACCTTGAGCCAGTCAGGATCGAACTGCTGGCAATGGGCAGAGTTAGCCTGCAATACTGCATTCGAAGGAAGGAAGGAAGGAAAATAACAATCGCACTTAGACTTATATGCTGCTTCACAGGGTTTTCCAGCCGTCTCTAAGCGGTTTACAGAGTCAGCCTATGATCTCCAACAATTTAGGTCCTCATTTGACCGACCTCGGAAGGATGGAAGGCTAAGTCAACCTTTGAGCCAGTCAGGATCGAACTCCTGGCATTGGACAGAATTAGCTTGCAATGCTGCATTCTAACCACTGCGCCACCACATTTATAAAAGTTCATTTAGTGGCTATTTGAAGTTACGGCAGCATGGAAAAAAAGTGGCTTAAGACCGTTTTTCACATTTAGGACCGTCGCGGCATCCTCAAGGTCACATGACTTCCATTCGGAGGCTTGGACACTGGCTCCTAATTATGACAGTTGCAATGTTTTGCTTAGCAACGTACAATTTGGGCTCAACTGCGATCATAACTTGTGGACTACCTGTATGGAATTCATAGGGTGGAATTCATTCAGAATCATACTGACGATGGTCCGGACAAAAAATACATCCCTTCTCATTCAGATATTTATTTTGAAATAGAATAGTATCCATCGCCCTTCCTTTTCTCTCTCTTTTTTTTTTCCCCCCCTGCTCTTTCGTTGACTGCTGTAAAATAGAATTTAATTGTTCCCTATAAAAAGCTCAGGCCTTCGCATTACATCCATTATTCATAGAGCAGCGTCGTTGGGCGTCAAGGCAGAATAGCAATACGCCCCCCCCCCGCTCCCCCCTTGGCTACGGAATTTGCAATGTAAAATCCAACCCAGGGAAGCAATAAAAGGAGAGGAGGATAAGCGTGAGAGTATATGCATCAATATTGACTTATTTATTGCAGTCATGGACGTGGCAATTTCGGGACAGCAACATTTCTGAAACCATCCTAAAAGAGATTATTTAAACCAGGAGTCTTTCGGAAGAACAGCGATGGCTCTGCGGAGCAGGGAACGAAGCGTTCAGCCAAACCATAATCTGTGATGTTGATGGTGGTTGGTTGTCACTTCCATTTTCCTCCTAGCTGAACTGATGTGGGATTGGTGTCTCAAGGGAAGTTCAGGCGTGTTTATTATAGCTCCACTTTTTCAGTCCTCACAATTACATGTAATACTAGCTTGGGTACCCGTGCTTTGCCGTGGAACTATGTGGTCGGGGTTAGTTTTTGGGGAGGAAAATAAGGGGAAAAAAAATCTGCCTCTGCCTATCTGCATCCATCAGTATTCATCTGGCTAGCGGCCTGTCTCTGTGTGAGAGAGTTGAGGGCTGTTTGGAAAGTGAAACAGTAGTTGCTGCGTGAGCAAGGAGGAGACAGCAAGGAGCCTGGGCGTGGCTTAGCTCAACTGTTCTGTACTAAAGCTGCTTGGTGCTCTGAAACTGAAACTCCTCTCCTCTGCTTGTGTTTTGCATTTGGAAGAGATTTCTTTTCAGGCGGGGAGGGGGAGTAGAACTCCTTAGCATCAGAGCGTGTTAATAACAATAACAATAATATAGGAAATGCTAATGCTCTGATGGTCATTTTGAAAAATCCTTTCTTAGTGAGCACTTAGAAGCCAAGAGGAACATAAGTGCCCAATTTCAAGTTTGTAGGTTTGCGGTTCTGGAGATCTTGTGATGATGCGCGAGTGGTAATTTGCGCATATATATATATATATATATATATATATGCGAAATACTACTCGCGCATCATCAGGAGATTGGGAAGTACTCCATAGCTGCCATAACAAACTCTAACCCATTCCTGAAAACTGCCAACTAATCACTGGACTACAACCATGACTGCAAACTCTGGCATTTGCGCCCTGTGCTTAGTATTGGTTGTCAAATGGTGGTCCTTAGACCCCTGGAGGTGGGCATGCGATGTCGCCTCAGGGGCTCCGTGAAGGCTTGAAGAAATGGTATGGCTTAAATCTTGAGTTAAGTCTTTGGGTGGGGTGGGGTGGTCTAAGGTCCATGGCTACAAAAGGTATTTAAAGGGTGTCCATTGTGAAGAGAAGGTTGCGATCTACCGGCACAGAACGTTTAATCAAAAATTGCTACCGTCCAACGCTTGTTTCCGTATTTTAAGAGTTAGTAAGTTTGTGTTTCTCGGCAGATTTAAATAAAGTAGCTATATGCACTTCACGCTTAATAGTTGCTTGTTGCTTGTACTCAAGCAGTCTCCTAATACACATCACTCATGTTGCACTACTAGTGATTGTTTCCGTAGAGCTTATTCAGAAACGGTACTTAACTCCAGTTGAAGTGTGGCAGAGGTTGTTCAGCCTAGCCCTGAGCTTAAACATTCCCAGAAGTAAATGGCATTGAAATTAGGAGTGAATATTTAAAACCAGGATATAAGTCTGCCTGTGACTCTGCAGGGTAGAAATGTACTACAGGTAGAAATGCACTGCATGTTCTGCAGGTAGAAATACAAATATGAAAAATCCCAAAGGTGTTTTTTTCACAAAAGGCAGTTGGACTTCCTTGGTTTTCTCCTCGAATATGTTTCGAAGCGAGACAACTTTTGGGACAACTGTGGCCTGGATGATGGAGAAACTCCAGGGACGTGAATGTGAAAACTGCCTCTCCGCTCCTTTTGTAACAGTAATGGAGAATCCGATGAGCAGCTTATCACCTCCTTCACGTATTCATGAAGACGACGGCTCAAAGGAGAACACTGAGGTGCCACCTGGGTGAGTAGCTTATTATCTAGCTTTAGTGTGATGCCTACGTCACTCATTCTCTCTCTCTCTCTCTGTCTCTCTGCCTCTCGTCTCTTTTTCCCAACTTGATGAGCGCATCACCTGGGAAATAAGAATGACCTTCCAGTTCTTGCGGCCTTTACAGTTTCCATGCGCGGTCACGTAAGCATTTCAACTGTAGTGGGATATGAAAGAGCGAAGAAAAGAGTAACGAGGGTGATTAGGGGACTGGAGGCTAAAGCATTCGAAGAACGGTTTCAGGAATTGGGGATGTCGAGATTAAGGAAGAGAAGGACGTAGGGGTGACCTGATAGCATCTTCCAATATTGGAGGGGCTGCCCCAAAGAAGAGGGAGTCAAGCTATTCTCCAAAGCACCTGAAGACAAGACAAGAAGCAAAGGATGGAAACTAACAAGGAGAGAGAAGCAACCTAGAACTAAGGAGGAATTTCCTGATGGTTATAATAATTAACCAGTGGAACAACTTGCCTCCAGAAGTTGTAAATGCTCCAACGCTGGAAGTTTTAAAGAGGAGATTGGACAGCCATTTGTCTGAAGGGCTATAGGCTTTCCTGCCTAAGCAGGGGGTTGGACTAGAAGATCTCCAAGGTCCCTTCCAACTCTATTATTCTGAATTACAATGGCATTAACCGAGTTGGGCTATTCTCTCCGAATGGTTCATTTTAGCTCAGGCCTAATATCCTTCTGAGTTTGTGGGAGAGGGTTAAAAAAAAGGATTTATTTGGCAAGTTTGTCGCCTGCCTTTCTCTCTCTCTCTCTCTCTCTCTCTCTCTCTCTCTCTCTCTCTCTCTCTCTCTCTCTCTCTCTGACCTGATGGGGGGGAGGAGGGGGGGAAACCCACCCAAGCCCCAAGCTATGGCAGCTGCAGTCGTACGTTTCCCCTGTGAGCTGTTTTCAGACAGGTGAATGTGCTGCGCCCAGAAATTTATTACTGTGGGCTCAGAACGCTGTGGAACCACACGGGGTGTGTGTGTGTGTGTGTGTGTTTCCTATCACTCCAAGGTTGTTTTGTTTTTAAAAGAAAAATCCTTCCTTTTTCTTTCTTTTTTTTCCCCTCCCCAGTGCAACGACCAGCGGTGGTGTGACAATAAACGAAAGCAAAAAAAAAAAAAACGAGAGCCGTACAGATAAAAGTCGGCATCACAAACGGAGTTAGAAATGGTGCCTGAAACCTACTGAATAATAAAACGTTTTTCTTTTTTGCCTTCGGTCCTCCTGCGAAGCTTTCAGCCCTTTAAAGTACGGAGCGTTTGCTCTTCTCACAAACAAAATTTATTTCTCCCCCGATAACACACCCTGTGGAGGCCAGAAACCGTTCCCCTCCCTATGCAAGGCCAGCCTTTTCTTTGCAACAAGCAAGGGCAGCTCTTTGCCACCCTTATCAACGGCTCTTTGCCATGCCCGTCTCCGAAGGTTTCTCAGTTGTGACGTTTTTGGAGGGCCGAAGCGGATGGAGAGGAACCGGCGCAAACTGAGCGTAGCTGTGTTTTGCGGGCAACGGGAACGCGGGAGATGATCTGAATCTCTCTGTTTTTTTCTTTCAGGCTAAATCATTCAGAAGGATCGTGCTGCGGCAGCGCCTCCCAGTCTGCCAGCCGCCCCGATTTTGCCGAAGACCTCCTGCAAAGCCAACTGTTGCGCAATGATTCATTTAGTACAGCTGAAAATAGCGAACTGAGGCCGGAGGAGGAGGTGAGCGGAAATGCAGCCGCTAAAAGATTTCCTCCTCCGCCTGCTTGTTCTCTCCATTCATCTTTTGGGCATAGAGGGGCGGGGTGGGGTGGGGGAAGCGGGGGAGAAATCCATTATTTATATTTTAATTATGGCAATCTTTGCAGGGGTTCGGGGAACGGGGTGTCGCCCGCAAATAAAATCCTCCCGTTTCCTCCCCCACCCCCTGTCCAGCAGGTTGTGATGATCGGGCTGGAACGGAAGCTGCCTCTTGGCACAGGTGAATGAAAGGGAGTCCTCGACTTACAACGGTCTGTTTAATGACCGTTTGGACATGACAAAAGGGGCTTGGGACCCAATTTTCAAACTTAGCATCCCCCCCCCATCCCCGCACAGTCACGCGATCAAAATTCAGGTGCTCGGCAACCGACTCATATTTACGACGGTTTGCAGAGTCCCCGGGGTTGTGTGTCACGTGACACCCCACACCCCCGTTGGCGACCATTGACAAGCCGGGTCAATGGGGAAGTAGATTCTCTTCAGCACCAGTTTGCTCACTCGGCAAATGGCAGCAATTCGCTTTCCGCACGGCGGCAAGGAAGGTCGTTAAAGCGAGGCGAAACTCCCCGGACAGCTGTCCTTTCTTAGCGATGGAAAGTTTGGGGCTCTCTTGGCGGTCGTAAGTCGAGGACTCCCAGCGGTTTGTTAAAAAAAAACCGCAGGAGAGGATAATGTCTTTTTAAACGAAGCGAGCGAGCGAGCAAACAAGCGACGACGGGTTTTGAATTGTCTCCCTAACAGCAGAGAGCCAAGAGAGGAGGCTGGTCTAAGGGGCGGAAGAGGAAGAAACCGCTAAGGGACAGCAACGCCCCCAAATCCCCCCTGACGGGCTATGTGAGGTTTATGAACGAACGGCGGGAGCAGCTCCGAGCCAAGAGACCCGAGGTCCCGTTTCCCGAAATCACCCGGATGTTGGGCAACGAATGGAGCAAACTCCCTCCGGAGGAGAAACGGGTACTGCTGTATTCGCCTTTCCCCCCCCTTCGGGCGCAAAGTTTTCTGGCCGGGCTCTCCAGCCCTGGGCCCCCTTTGAGGACTGGTGGACTTGAACTCCCCAGCTGGGGAATTCTGGGAGTTGAAGTCTTGTTAAGTCTTCAAGGGGCCAAGGTTGGAGAGGCCGTTTTTTTTTTTCATGGCGTTTGATGGCATCTTCACCTTCTTTGGGGAAGCCAAAGAGAAAAAGAATCCCAAGGATTCAATCCAGAGCACTGATAATATTACTTAGCTGGGTAATGAAATGTCAGAGAGCATCAAGAACCCCACAGTTCTCCTCCTCCTCCTCCTCTTCCTTCATCTTTCTTCCTTCTCCTCCTCCTTTTTTTCTCCTCCTCCTCCCTCCCTCTTCCTCCTCCTTTCTTCCATCTTTCTTCCTTCTCCTTTTCTCTTTTTTCTTCCTTCTTCTTTCCTCCTCCTTTCCTTTTCCTCCTCCTCCTTCCTCCTACTTCTTTCGTCCTTCTTTCTTCCTTCATCCTCCTTCCGCTTTCCTCCTTCCTCCTCTCCTCCTCCTCCTCCTCCTCC